TCTTTCCCTTCTGGGTCAGCCTCTTCTTTGCTCTCCCCATTTATTTCCTGTATTTCCACATTTCTATTTGACTCCTTTCTTTTCTTCCCTCTTAATACAGAAATAAACTGAAAGAGGTAAGAGAGAAAAGAGAGATGGTCACACTGCTTGGAAACCTGCATCTCCAACTTTAAAGTCTTCCACTGGCAGACTGGCAAGTGCCCAAACCTCCGAGCCTCAATTCTCTGTGCTGCCATCAAGTGCTGATTAATTGTGGGAGATTACTAGTGCCATCCTCTTGGATGTGCCATTCATGGTTTACAGCTGGGGCCCCGCATCCATCCTGACTACAGATCTATCTCTTCTTCATTGTCTTTATGCTGCGCAGACACTTCACATAAGGTAGACTACATGCATTTAATCTGCAACAGGAACTAGGCAGCAGAATGAGGGAAGGACTAATGACTAACGCAACTGCTTGTCATTATGTTTGGAGAAGGGAAGTAGTATTTCTCAACTAGAAAGTGAGGCAGAGACAAGTTAAATGACCTATCAAAATCCTTCAGGAAATCTAGGGGTAAAAACAGGCTAAGGAACTGTGGGACAAAGTCTCATCATCACTGTTTTTACAGTCAGCATGAGCACATCTATTTAGCTATGCTATTACCCACCACTTCCCTGGCTACAATCCTTACATCTTCCAGAAGCCAAGAATGCTGCTTCCCTTCACACCTCCTGCACACACACTGTTTAACTGAAGCAATTCTCTCCAAGCTTGTACCTAAACATGGTTTGTCTAGGAAGACCATCCTTTAGATTTGTCTCGTCAGCAGCCAAGCTGACAGGTAGAAATGAGCTCCTCACCACAAATCAGCAACACTGTTGTCTCTTGCAATATCTGGGAAATAAAACCTACTTTGTTCCTTTGAATTTTCTCAAGCATGTCCAGGTCAGTGGTGTCAGAGATGCCCCCATGTATAATGAGGACTTTCTGATCAATCAGTGTGGCCAGGGGCAGCCAGCAGAAGACATTCTGAATCATCTTCAAGATTTTCTTCCCATGCACCTAGGAGGACAGGTCAGAAAGGAAAAGATGAAGCATCAAGCCTTCAAAGTCCACGTCTCATGTGGTAAAGGAGACACAAACATATGCCTACCTTGTATTTTTGCATTACTTCCTTGGCAAAACCATAGCTAAAGGAACAGGAGAAAGAACGTTCAGTGGGATTTTGCAGTGACACCATTGACATCGTGATCAGCCCTGCACAGAACCCGTACCGTAAGTTGACCATATGGTCCTCATGGTTCCCGCGATTGAGATGAACCTCCTTTGGATAGATCAAGAGGAAGGTAAAGAGGACGATGAGGATCTCAAGGGACTGTTTGCCTCTGTCTACAAAGTCCCCGTTGAACACATAGGACTTGGAAGGGGAAGGAAGGCCATTCTGTAAAAGCAAGGAACAGGCGGATGTTACAAGAGAGGCCTTCCCATGATCTACATACACCTCCCCCTCAAGCTGCACATTCTCTCACTCTTGCCCCGGGTTACCCTGTACAACAGATCCTGACTCTTATTTTTATCCTGTAGGCTCCCAGTGGCAAATGCATTGAAAAGTGAAAGCTGGTAGTCAGGAAGGATTACCATTGGTATCAGCACTTACAAAAATGTCCACTGGTGCTTCCCAAATATACATTAGATTTCAAAGTCAGCAAGGGAATTAGGTGCTGCTTTGAGAAGCCATTTGAAACTGGTCAAATTGACCTGGAAAATCACATGTGAAGGGCTGGATTTTGCAAACACTTCTCAGCATGACCCATATGATACCTTTCACAATGCCTAGGCAGCCTCCCTCTCCAAATACGGTGCCTACCTTATAAAATATGAGGAACAAGTCATCCAGCTGGCCGTGCAAGTCTCCTAACAGGCACAAAAAGACAAGTTGCAGTATGTTTACCTTTAACTTAAAAAGACACCAATAAATAACTTCCTATGAAGTATCATCTCCTCTATAAATTAATGACCACTGAAATATTTTGGGAAGTTCAAGGTGCAAGTTTCCTTGCACTGATGCAATGTGCCCAAAGGAAAAGGACATATTGTAAAGGCTTGAGTTGAAACCTAAGAAGGACAGCAAAAAACATACACCAGCTTCTGACAGCTCTGATTCAGAAGCTTTGCTCATGTACCTCTTGTGGTCACACAACATGGCACAAGAAACGCTTTGACTTTGATCATTACATGGGATAAAGCTTTGCATACAAAATAATAATCAAACAAAATTCTCATTCAACGTGATATTGGAGAGAGAGGTTTGTTTTCCAGAAGCTGACTGCCTGCAAAAGTCTGTGCTAAGTACTTATTTTTCAGAAGTATCTCGACATTTAAACATTAGTCCTAGAGTAGGAGAATAATGGTGAAAAGCTTTATTTCTTTCAAGTTTACTTGATAAGACTCAAAGACATGTTAGTATTCTGGATCTGAATGCATACGCTGCTGCTAATGAAGACTCAACTAGAAGTCCTCCAGGACTTGGTTGTTTAAATAATCCCAGGCCACAGGACAGAAGAATGTCCGACTTTTGAGGCCAGTCCTTGATGGGGTGCAGTTTCTGTGGTTTAGTAAAACGATTCCGAGTTTGGGGTGACAGAACAAAGACAAATTGAAAAAATCTGTAAATCTTTGCTGTAATGTGTAACAATTTTAAGAGCCACAGGTTATCATAATCACCTTTCATCTTCCCTTAGACAAATGTATGTCCTTATATTTTCTGTTCATACCTCCTCCTTTCCTTGCATTTTTATGACCACAGTGACAGCACCCCTACTACAGTAGGCTGTGCCAGTGGAACAGTACCATCTAGGGGTAGGGTTTGTTAGTAACGCATCCCAAAATCTCATGGAAGCCAAACACAGACTACAAATAGACAAACCACCTTCCCTTGACACCCCTATCCCATTCCAGACCAAGCAGAAATAGGGCTGTGATGCAGACTTGCTCCCTCCATTCTTCAGGCTAGTCTTTGCAGCGGCTCCAATACAGCATCGTAGGGTAAACCCGGAAATTTTACGCAGCCCCAGTTGCCTCTCAATGCCACATGCATTTTTGCTTACGGACTACATTTGTATTCCATGCTCAGTACAGAGGAGGGCATCATGCTCACACGATCATTTTACATCTTTCCCACCCCTTCCACGTGAACATTCTGCCCCAGAGACTGCGCAGTGCCCTCCCACCCAGACGTACCGCACACGGTGACCTCCTCGCTATAGCAGGTGGAGACATGACTGATGTTTGGCAACTGTTTGAGGTGCTTCCTGGTCTCATGCAGGAGGTTTAAGACATAGCGAGCGTGGAGCTGCTACTAGGAGAAAGCGAAGGGATTAAAGCAGGAAATCAGTGACCTCTGAGCAGCAATGCAGTGCTGTCTGCAAAGGCCACAAGCACCCACCACAATAGCCTGGATAGCAGAACCTCTCACTGGGACAACACTCAATGCTGACCTATGGGCTTACAAACAAGACGAGGCAAATACTGGGAAACAGCGCTACGAAAGAGGCTTGCCCAAAGCAGCCCAGCCTCAGCACTGGCAGGGCTGGCAAGAGAACCCAAAAGCCCTAGCACCCTGTGGTTGAGGCTGTATCTGCCAGGCAACAAGCCCTCCTAGAGCAGCAGAAATTCCAGCCCAGTATCACAGGTAAGAAGCTGCTCCTGCAGCTCTTTCTTAGCCTTTTCCACATTAAACCAGGCCGTGAGCTCCCATGTGTCCTGCAGAAATATGTTTGTTCAAAGCCAGGGTGTAGGCATTTAATATTAGTCAAGACACTAGTGATCTTCGGTTTAGAAGTCGTTTTGTTTGGAGAAGGGACGTTTTGGCCTATTTTGCAGTTCAGCGCCTTGGCTGAGGGATGGCAGCAGAACACTGCAATTGTACAAGGACCTGTCATTAGTGCTGGTGAATTGGTACTGGACTTCCTCATCAAAAACCTCATATTTTACATTTTAAATATGAGTCAAAGTTGCGTGGCACAAAACATAATCTTAATCCGCTGTTTCCATCTGGGCCATCCTATACTTATTTACAAATTGAGGAACTGGAACAAAAAATGACAGAATGTTTCAACATGGACTGCTGTGGGGTTTTTTCATTTTAAAATGAAATACAGGTTAATATTGGCACACGTCTGTGAAAAGTTTTCAGTTTTGTCAGAACTGCATTTTCAGAAAGAAAAAAAGTTCCTGTGGCAGGGGGAAATACCGTATCGTTTCCATCCCCCTTTGCTTAACAGCCTGCCAGCTCGCTACACTCCGATCAGCTTAGCTTCTAAGGGAGGCTAAACCTTATCCTACACCCCTGAGTCGAGAAGGGGAAACAGTGGTTCCTTTTGGGATCCTTACTTGTTTTTGTTTGAAAGCTTCCAGCAAGGCAGTCGCATGGTCAGGAAGGAGTGGGAAAGAGAGATGGGGTCCAGTGTAGGAGTCTGGCACCTCCATGGATTCATAGTCACAGTATTTTTCCAGCTCTGCCTCTTTGAAGCTTTCTCCACTTACAAACATGCGACTGATAAAATCCCCTGGATGGCAGATTGGTCAGTTTTTGTTTTGTTTTGTTTTAAAAAAAAGAGAAAGAGACAAGAAAAAGTGAAGTTGGTTCAATACACCATTCTAGTAATTTGCTGAAGAAAAGCTGTTTGGTTAGGCTAGAGCACATGAGCAATGGCAGTGGTGGAGGGAAGCTCCTAGTTTGACACCACTACAGAAACTGCAGTGGAGAAAAGGCTGTGGGGACAAGTTTCAGTGTGCTAGGTGTCAGGCAGTGCTGACAGCTATGCTAGTTTCTGCAGAACTCTGCTAGAGCCAGATGGACATTGGTTGCCATGGCTAATTGAAATCTTACTGTCAATGACACGCAAAAGAAAACTGTGTAATGAGGAACTGCCTCCTACGCCCCACTGTTTTTTTCTAAGCCTGCACCTATATTCTCAATGTTGCACAAAATTTGTATACATATGCATATTTTATTTCTGTAATGTCTCAGAGCCCAACTCAAGGAACAGGACATTATTGTCCCATTTTATACAGACCCTGAAAAAAAGTCTTCCTCAACCGAGCTTTGCTGTAAAATATGTGAAGTTGCTGTGAGAAAAAGGGTGGCAGTTTGAAAGGAAGGATTGAACACTTCAGCAGATTATGGTCAGCAAAGTAAATAGTTAATTTTGACATGCTACCACCAGATTTCAGAGCTAAGCTCATTTGCAGGTTCCCAGGAGGAGAATACTGTATTGGTTCCTATGGCACTTCTCCCCTGCCACTACCCCACACTGCAGTTATGAGATACTAAATGTAAATAAAATAGATACCCTAGAGCACAGTTCCCTAAAGATGGATTCTCTCACTTCAGAAATGGACTCTGCAAAGCCCTGGTTATCAAGGGTCACTGAAAAAGGCACATTTCTAATACTGCTCTAAGAAAACATACCGAGCTTTTATTCTTTCTTCCAGCTCCTGAGGAGCAGGAATTGCTCCACATCCCTCGCATAGCTCTGATAGTCTCCAGATAATTCACTCCCTATCCAAATTCCTGATGCCATTGCTCTTGAGACTCCCTTGGCCCCCTTTGCCATCCTGAAGGGTCAGCACTGGGCAACAAATCAATACAGGGTGCAGCCTTCTGAGCTGCTGGTGCCACATCTGCAAAAGGCACATAGAAACTTACTCTCTTTACTGCTGCTTGGCGTGAAGTGGTCCATGAGGTAACTGAAGAAGTTGTGAAGCTGCAAGAAGAGAGAGAGAGAGCCCATCATCATTCACCCTGGAATTAAATTCTGCAGAGTGGCAACTTAACATGACCTTTTTTCCAGAATTGTTATCTATGCCCTTATCATGTTGTCTGACGTGTATAACAAATCACACTATACCAATTCTAGTTTTGAATATCTTGTGATGAAGTCAAAAAAGTAGCTCTACCTTCAGCCATACAGGCAGAAGTACACCTATCAGCCCTCCCTCTCCCTGCCTGATAGCAAGGCAACCATATAAGAAAATATTGATCAAAGATAAACTATAACAAACCAACTAGTCTTGCCTGTTTTGTTCAGACTCAGGAAAATCTTACAATGTTAAATTGTCCTTATGGCTTTCTTTCAAGGCTCATTACTCAAGGTTTCATCAGACATAAGCAGGCAGGAAATCAATAGGCAAAAAAAGGAGCAGGAAACCCAGTCCTTCGTCCACGGAAGCACTTAGAGGGTTACCAGCCAGTAGCTACAAATGAGTGAGTCTGTGGCACAGAAACCACTCTCCTGCTTGAGAATTCAAAGAAGTGACCCTGCCTGCCAGCACGGTGAAGAAGGGCAGGCTGGAAATGCTCTCCCAGAGGGAGCAGAGAGCAGGCTCCAGAAAGAGTCAGAGAACTGTTCATTAAACAGATAAACAAACAAACAAAAACCCAAAAAATCAAACCCACATATAACAATCCTCTCTGAATTTAAAACAGAGCTATGAAATTCTTGTCACATGGAGATTACTCAGCTCCCCTAATACACAATGCTCTTTCCTCCCTAGACTGCTCCACTCACTCTTAGCTACTCTCAGTCCCTGCAGGCCCTCAGGCAGAGGCTTATTTCTCTCCATCTTGCGCACCCACGCAGGAAGAAGTTGCCTGCTCCTGCCTTAAAAATAGTTTGCCGTTGGCTAACTTCAGCACAGAGGGATTGCATTCAGAGACAAAGCTAGGATTAAAAGGTGGCCGGTACCAAACTGCAGAGGCAGGACGTATTTTCCTACATCCTCCTTTCCTTGGCACGTTACCTTGATCTGATCCTGCTCGCAAGCATATTCAATAGATTGAAAGATTCTCCAGGTGCAACGTCGGCGCATTTCCAGCCGAGCAACGTAGCGCCGATACCACCGCTGGATCAAGACGGCTGCCTTGAAAGCTAGGGGACAAAAACAGAACCAGCCTGCTGAGCTGCAGTGGCTGCAGCTGAGGTACCCTGCTACCGCTCCCTTCCCAACACTGCAAATTGAAGAGAGACCTTTCTTTTTCAGGAGCAAGTTTTCAGGAAAGGTGTTCTGATGCCTAAATACTAAGTATAACAAAAACCCCACTTCTTTTCACCATATTGCAAGAGGTTGATCTGACCCTGCCTGATCAGAGACCTCTGAAGCACTTCTAGCCATCACTGCTGGCTCCTTAGCACCGGCGTTAAAAACAACTTATTGGGGCCTAAAGGTCCAAACACGTTCTTCACTATTAATAGACAGTTTCCTCCCTTTCTGTCTACCTTGATCATTTTCCTGTTCGTCTTACTGTCTAGGTACTGGGTCTTCAGGGAACCAAAGATTTGACCGGGGCCGCACAAGGAGTTGGTGGAAAACAAGACACTGAATCCCCTTCCAGAGCCTTAAAAATATGGGGTTTTTCTACCTTACTTTAAGCTAAATAAATTCCTCAGCTTTTGCAGTTCTGGACAAACTTCAGAAGGGACCTATTCTAGCATAAATGTTAACATACCTTTATCTTGGAATAAAATAAAGACAAAATTAACACCCACAGTGAAAAGAAGGAGACAGATCTTTGGCTACTTAAAGACACAGAAGGAAAGAAATGCCTGGAATTTCCAGGTGCCTAGTTGTGGTTCAGTCCACAGCCAGCACTGGCACCAGCCTCTTCCCTCCAAATGGTGGCCATTTGCCCTGGTCTTTAAAGCATAACCATTCCTCTGCATTTCCCCAATTCTAGTGTTTTTCATTAAAAGATTATTTCAGAAGGGATGTGTGCATATTTAAAGCAAAGTACATTGGTGCAGTTTCCCATTTCCTTTTTCAAGTTCTGCCACAGAACTTTATGTACCTCTAGAAACTATTCCATCCTCCTTAGCTGGGTCTTGACCCCATTTGGGCTGCCTGGTTACTTCACAGCGCCCTGCCAACCAGCTTTGCTACTTAGCATCTCTCTTTTTATTATGCTCTGTGTCCCTTCCTGTTCATTTCTGGAACCCCATCCTAGAGCACTAAATTTAAAACATTTTCTTAACAATGCTCCTCCATGTCATCTTTAGCTTAGGGAGGGAGGGATGACTGCTCTATCTACAGGCTGGCCCCAAAATCAAACAGAGACAACAAATAGAGTTACAGAGTTAGCCCTGCTGCAGAAGCTCATACTCGCTTGGCATCTGGTTTGTAAGCGAGTACTGCCACGTTCACCAAAGCAGGAAGAGCAGTGAGGGGGGTGGGGGGGTGGAGAAGCTTTATAAAAAGAAAAAAATCCCCCACCCCTACCCCAAAGGCAGCTAAGTGCTGCCAAGAGATGGAGATCATATTAATTCAATTAGCTTGCATTGGAAACATTGACCTTTACCTAAATAAGATATCCTGCTGGCTTATGTATTGAAAATAATAATTCTTCTAAATTATGCTACTGTTACAGCACTAGGAGCTGCAGAGCACAAAAAAGGGAAGAGCTATTGCTGTTGTGCAGCTGGGGAACCGAGCCCTGGTGAAATCATGGGCAAGAAGGCAAGACTTGGCTAGCCTTAATTGAAGAATAACTTATGTATTCTTTGCCTGAGCCTTACATCTTTGTGAGAAAATGCTTACTGATCTGCTGGGCTATGAAAAAATTAAAAGGGCTGACTGTTTTTCCTGCAGTTTGGTGCTCCTGACGCTACCTCTTCAAGCCTGCTTTATAACAGACCCAACACTAGCTGCCTTACTCCCTGTACAGTAATTTGGCTGGCGTGTAACCAGAATCACAGTCACAATCACTCTGTAGAATAAACAACTTCTAAATAGCTTGCATTCCCCTAACAGTGGGTAAATGTCCGGTTACTGCAGTAAGTCAGATCTATTTCAACTGAACCCCGAGCAGAAATTCATAGTTATGACTCCACATATACCAATGAAAACGAGATCCTTTGAAACTTTAAAAATAAAATCTATGAAAGACTTGTTATCAAGCGCACAGTGAGCATATATACCACCATCCACAGCATTTTAAGCTCCAGGTGGGCAAGGCATTGGGTTTTTTATGCTACTTTTACAGAGAATGACTCTGCAATTGAAAAAGCCAGGTATTCTAATTTACCAGCTTACCTGGGTGAGTTTCATCTGGCAGTGTTTGTACTAGTTTAGAAGAAAAAACAATAAAAAAGGAAGAGAAAGAGATTTATCCACATTTTATGAGGATCCAAGCAGTAAACTGATTTCTACATCGTCCTATAAGCTACTGAAAGCATGCCAGAGTGGCAGCACTCAAACTAAAATATGTCTGTTCTTGCTAGTTGTATAGTTCATATATCAGCTTACAAGAGGGAGTCTGCACCCCCTCTTGGGTTCCCCATGCCCTTCTTCACTCAAGAGCAGGGCCCGTTTAACAGAGCTCTGCTGGCTACACTTTCTGCTGGGAACAGCCTCTGGGCCTTGTGCGAGGGGGGCAAGACGACACCCAGCACATTACACTTGGGTGGAAAGTCCTGAGCAGCTCCACACCTGCAGATCACCAGATCTGAGGGATTTTGAGAATCAGATCCAAGAACTTCAGAGAGAGGTTTTACTGCCGTGGGAAAACTGTTGATGCGGCATCAAATCTAATGCAGAATTTCAAAAAAAGTAACTAGTTTTATATTACACTTTGTTTGTTATAGAAAAGCCGTTATGATAAAATAGCACTGAACTGGTTGGGAAAGTCCGTGGTTCTCTCGTGCTATAGGCAACAGACAAATCTAACTGACTTAAATAAAAGGTGGGGTTTTTCAACAACAACAAAAAATACAAACAAGACTGAGTCACAACGGTATCCCCGCTTTCTTAATTTCTAAATGCAATCAGTATTTTTCTTTCCAAAGCACTCGCAAACAGTTTGCACCATACTGCTGCTCTGCCAATGCTGATGACGGAATGATTCAAACAAAGCAAGCTGTTTACTTTTTTACACTTCCTCATGTGTAAAGTCTCACCCAAACTCCTGTTGTTCCACAGCAGACCTAAGCACACACCCAGATAGCTGATACTATCATACAGAGGGTTTCATAAAAATAAATCATTACAACTTTGGGAGCCATAAACAACTCTAGATTATTAGCAGAGATTAACAACATTGCGCTGATGTAATTAGAAAAAAGCGTACTTTTTGCTTTTCAGCTTTTCTTAGTCACACCATCTTACCTTCTTTAGAACCAAGTTTTGGCTTTGCTAATGTTTTTGCTTTATCGGTCCTGCGCCACTAACACAGTCTTTAAAAACGAAGTCCACCAGAGCAGGAGGGTGATACCATCTATCTCGCTGTCAGCACATGACAACACACACATTAATCAGCAATTGATTAATCCATTGGATGTTAGTTCTAACAGAATTGCTTTTTGCTGCTTCATTTCTGGTCAGGTTTTGACTGATTTTAATCTAATCCTGGTCTAAATGGCTGTTATTTCTCAGCCTCTTGGTCTTCTGCCTGACAGCTGAGACTCCTTGTCAAAGGATACTAAAAGATACAACCTCCCCTCAATACTCTAAGGAAAACCAGGTATCTCAGAAAAGAAACACATCCACTGCAGCCTCCCAACGGCATCTGCAGGAGCAGACAGGAAAAATTACTTCTCAAAGAATCACTCACCATTTTCAGACTTCTGCAGGGAGTACTTGTAGTTGGCATTTACAGAACTACCAGATCCCATGTTCTCCAACCAATGCTCCTAGAATGTTGCAGACTGGCCCAGTATCACCAAAACCATGAAAGAGATGCAGGAAAGACCATTCGGTCACAATCAAAACAGCTGCAACATCTCCCACGGTGCCGAGAATCTGTAATTAAATATATTAACACTTATTAAAATCAACAAGCAGGTGGCCTGTCTTGTGCCCAAGTACATCTTCCACTACCAGGTTTTTCCAGCTACGTTGTTGTCTTTTAGACAATCTGAGATGAGGATTTCTGTCTTACTGTTTCAAATTTCAAGTTAGCTATATGAAGAGAGATCATTGCAGCACCTTCCCTAATTGTATAAAAATAGCAGAGATTGCCTATCTAGGTACTGTAATTGTACGGTAGATGTATAATTCAGGCATTCATGTACTCACAATGCTTCACATGCCTAATTTTAGGCTCCTAAACTCTTGGCAATATGTCAGATTTTGACCTGAACCTTCATTTCAGATGCTACAATAAAATAATCTTGATTGAGCGCTGACAGCAGACTACATCTCCGAATCCTCATGCTACCTCTCCTTATGCACTTCTGAAGCACCTGGATGAAGGTGGTAAAATACTACACGTGACTGCATGTGGGAGGCATTCGTACACTGTATAGGAGAAAAAAAAAGTTTTCAATACTTACCAGGAACTATAAAAGTCATTAAGGTGATTCATTAACAATCAGTATATGCCGACAAATATTCATGCATATAGCCGTCTGTGAAGGATAACTCTCATTATGAGGGATGAACACACAGATGGTATTTAAATCTATTTGCAGTACCACAGCTAGAGGAGAGATAAGTCTAAAATAACAATCAGCTATCATAAGAAAATAATCAGCTTTGTTAAACACTGCTTTCCTTCACCTTGTGGATCTGCTTGAGTGTGGGAGCATATTATACCATCAATTGCTCAGATCCTGGCCAGAGAGGACAGCCAGACTTTTGTAACCTCACTGCTGCGGAAAGCTCTGGTCAGAGCAAACGGATCCTACTTCAAGATTAGGTCAAATTCTGAAATCTCTCACTTTGAGGACAACCAGAATGTCGTCCCCAGTCAGACGTGTTTCTTCTGGAAAAAACCCCAGTCGTGTACAAAATGTACCGCCAAAGCGGTCCTAGGCTGTATCTCATAGGAATTAGACTGAGTTTTATTCTAACCCAGAACTGAGAAAGGAGAAAGCTGAGAAAGGGAGGGAAGGAAATAAACACCTGTACAAATGTTAAGCCTGGTGCTAGCAGGAGACGACAGCTCAAAGGACTTTGAAGCGTCAGGAGAGCGTGACTACAGAGGCACTTCTCCCCAGCAGAGGGAAAAGTCCTTCTCCTTTTCTGACTTCCCGCAGTCCTTTTGCCTCCTTCAATCTCCTTCCACCTAACCCACGTCTTTCCTCTCAAAATAGCTACAGATCTGCACAAGCGCTAATTGAAGGAACACGGCCGGTGTTGTCTAAGGTGCGCGTGTGCAGTGCTTGCTCAGGAAGATGAGCCGTCTTCAGCAACATTTCAGCACAGAAAGTTTCTAAGGCAGATGAAATGCTGAAATTCTCTGCCTTGCTCAGGATGCCGAACTGCACAATGGCGTCTTCACAATAACTGGGTGACGCAACAGAAGGATACGTAGTGATGGTCTCAACAAAATACCAGTCCCTCTAGTTTTATTCTAACAACATTATTTCATGTCAGTGTCAAAAATAGCCTGAAATCACTGCTGAATTATGCCCAATTATATCCAGTGCTTTATGGCCTTTGTGCTTAAGTAATGCAGGTACTCTGACAACTTTTCAGATTATTAACCCTTGAAATGCACACAAAAATCAGAATTCCTGGCATTTAAGGCTCTTATTTGTAACCTCCTGTAGAAGGCAAATCCCATTTCCAGAAAAACAAATTTTCAAGCTCAGAATTTCTCAGTGTAGAGTTAACACTCCCATCTGGCTATCCAAACAAAAATTTCTAGCCAAAGACACACATCTGAAGATTTCAGCATATATTAGCTATCCAGAAAACTGGTGATACGAATGATTTGCTCTGTATCGGGAGCTTTCTTCAGAAACAATCATCCCCAAGCACCTCCACTTACTGCGTCCTGGTATTGCCCCTGGCAGGGCAATCTGAAACAGCATGACACAGGCTCCTTTCAGGTGAAATGACACCAGAAGACACGGTCCAGCTGCTAACAGGAGTTCAGTCCACAGGACCAGATTCAAGACAGTCCCAAGAAAAAAATCTGAAACATGGTTAGTGGAGACAACTGTTCCTTCATGCTGGAGGCCAACAGAGCCTGCATGCCTACCTGTATCTTCAGTGCTGCTTAGGAACCTGAGAGCACCAGCTTCAAAGGATGCTTCAACTTTTTGGAAGAGTTCAATGCCTTTAAACATACCCTTAAAAATGCAAGCATGAGAAAAAAAAAATAAATCCTTTTTCAGGAGCTAGAATGCTTCCAGATCACTTTTAAAAAATGGAGAACAAGTTTGAAGCAAGCGCTCAAGTACAGAGTTAGGTACTTTGCTTGCCTAGGATGCGTTCAGGGGTACTGCCTATCTGCTTTGAAAAAACGTGACCTTGGATTTGAGAGCACCTTTGGAGACACAGAATAAAACTTTTCCTCATTTCCTTCCTTCCTCGGAAAACTAGTAAGCATTTTTATTTGGACAGCCCTACTTTAAACATAAATTTTGGCCATCCGTACCAAGGGATGGTCTGGTATTTGTGTGCCGTAGGAGCACCTGCGGAGAGCAAGCACAGGCAATAGCACCTACCTGTTTATCTTGTCGTGAATGGTCTTGTCAACGGGTCTCTCTCTCTCTAGCAATTCCTGGAGCTGCAAACTTTTTAATTTCATTACCCTCAGATTTTTCTGAGGGCCACAGCCTGAGCAAAGGAGTGCACAGCAGTAAACCAGAGACTCCGATGGAATCAAACCTGTTTCAGGGGTGGGAGGAGCGAGGAAGAAATGGAGCCAGTCCAACTGCTCAGCACCTCTGCTCATTCCTGACCCACCCAACAGTGACAGGCACCCCTCCCCTTCCTAAAATCCTGTACCCAAGAAAAAGAAAAGTAACAGAGGCCCATGAAGACACAGCCTGGAAGACACGATGAAGCTGAACACCGGCATCATCCCAAATACAGGCTGTATTAAACCACCGGGTGAGACAAAATGATGCAGCTGGGAAACAGCCAGCTACTGACTGCTCCTTTCTCATCTTGCTGTTGGCTACCATTCCCCTCCTGCAGAGATGTTGACATTTTCTCTGATGCAGCTAGAAGGCCTCTAAAACAGGCTTTCCCCACGCCTTCTGAGAAGCTGCAGCACATTCGTATGAGGCTCTCCCCTGGTATACGCTGGTGCATGGAGCATCTGCTGGCAAACACGCATGCTAAGTAAAGCAAGGTGATAAAAGCTGCTATATGCACTCACACCAGGGCAGCACTAAACCATCACCAAAAAAAGCACAGACCCAAGTGCCACACGTGGACCCAGACAACTAACAGAACAAGAAAGTTCAGTGCCTCAGTCAAGCACCACAGAAAGGCAGAGAAGGTGCACGTTCCCTGTTCACCAGAGTTGGTGTTCTGAAAGCCAGAGAAACATGTAGCAGCCAGACTCCAGGTATACCTCCCAAGCCAACTGATAATATACTTGTTTTTGCAACACTTCAAATACAAGCGGCCAACTCATTTGATAATACCATGTAGTACCACATAAAACTCATTAAAGGAAAACTTGCACAAATGCATTTGTGTCAAGCACACCAAAACAAGAACGCCCAGGTAAATTTCCTGGCTTACCATAAATATTATTTTAACTCCTTCAAAACCAAAGCAAGAGACAGCATTTTGAATAAAATCCTACACGCTGTGTCACAACACTGAGCTTGTCCACATTACAGCTCTGTGCAGAATTTGGTGCTCCACCCACGTGAATCGAAGGCTTCCTGCAAGGAGCACCAGAGCTAACATGAAGCAAATTCCAAAACAAGAGGGCTCCTAGGGAAGATGACACACTTCACGTATTGCATGCACAACTGAATCCCCACTAACTTGACAATTTTGTCGACGTTTGGACAACTGAAGGAAGAGATGAGTGGAATTTGCAAGGCAGTGATAGGATACAACAAGACTTACTGAAAGTTTACGAGGAATAAAACCCTAAAAACCAGGGAAACAGAAATTTTAAGTTCTACTAAAACAAAACCAGCAACAGTTTGTTTAAGAGCTACAGATGAATTAAAAAAAATCAAATACTTCTCCCAAGAATAAAAATGCTAGCTAGTACTAGGGAAAGTGATGATCCTGCCTTGCCCTCCTAGACTAAATGCCTGTGTATGTCCCACGTGTACATCAGACTCGGGATGTCTTGTAGCTGGAAACCAGATGGTGAAGCTTGTTTGATTTTACACATGCACTGACCTCCACACCTGCAGCTACTGCAACGCCAAAAAGGAGAATTTCAGATAGAAAACTCCAAACCAGTTTTACGCAGCTTGACATATAAAACAGATACTTCACTTCAAACTACGGGTGCCAAGTAACTACTTCCAAACACAACACACTGCTACACAGAAGTAGAAAGAAAAATGCAACTTACCTTGTGCCACCAATTTCTGACTTAGGAATTTACTAAGATAAACACAATAGAAGCCTCCACTTTCAGGTTTTTGTTTCTATTCAGTACCCAAAGCAATCAATAATCTCTGACTTGCTTGATTACAGATTCAGAAACTTCTCCTCAGAATCTAAATAATCAAGCAAGCTGTTCCTTGGGCACGCAGCAGGCAGGGCCATGTCTTCCAGCACCTGCGGTATAGAATGTGCATGCTGTTCCACAACAAGTTGATTTATTTACTGCAGAGTTGTTTTGAGCAGCCTTAAGAATCCTCTCCCATGTGATGCTTAAGAAAGGCTACAGATCTGAAATGGATTAGGATTACTGAAGAGGATTATGAATGAGAAATACAGTACATTGGCCTCTCTC